ATTTTGTGTGGTTTTCAGAGCACCTGATTTAAAGAGTAAAACAGCTTTGGCAGAATCAAAAGTGTTGCTACAGAAGATGACATTTCCATGTACATTAGTACATGTGTGATCAGAAACCTGCTTTGTTTATTAGTAGTAATTCACATCTTATCTTCAAAGCTTCACTGAGAAATTAATAGCAACTTCCTGTTTCTACTTTTAAAGCAAGCTACAGCAATGACTAAATTCAACCTCAACTTTTCAGATGTTCAAAGTGCCTTCTCTATTTCTAATATCATTTATCTTAAAAAGATGAAATATCACAACTCTCTGAGATTTTATTAATAAGTATTCATTAATGAATGCAGCTTGGGTGCACTGTATTCTAAACATGAAATAATTGCAAACTGAATGCCTCATTTTTTATTAGCACAACTTTAAAAAGTGGGATTCTTAAAAATATGGAGGACAATCCATAATTGTCACTTCAAAGGATCTCTGAAAGAGATCACGACAAACTGGGCAAACAAATTCTGCTTTGAAACTACTATTCTTTTAAAGGATGACATGAGTTGGCAATATGGAAAAAATAATTAACACCTCTTGGAAAGAAGCCTGGTTGGCATTCTAATGAAATGACAAGACAGACTTAGTAGCTTTATTTGCCTGTTGTTGTTTTTTAATTGCTGTATCATGGTATAGTTTGCAAAATCTACTAACTATACAAAGTTGAACAGTGTTGCTGAAATATGGACTTTTAAAAAGCATTCTAGACATTATTTTCTTCTTAGGTTAAAATTTTGGTCAGATAGTTGGATAATTTTTTTTTTAATGAATGGATTCAAAACATTACTGTGAGTCAGGTGACAAAATTTGCAAAGATATTATGGGAATGTAAACATCAACTTGCTTGGAATTTATACTTGCATATTTAGACATTATAAATTGACTTTTGTACTGTCATGCAACTTTTTCCTCCCCAAATACTTTGTGAATATCAATTTATTAGCAAAAATTAGTTTTTTGGAAAAATAAACATAAACTATTCATACTCATGGGACTCGCCTGAAAAAGATGCAGTTCTAAATAGACAGATAACATTATGTCATCCCAACAGCAGATCAAATTCACACTGATAACCTATACACTTATATATTATGTTTTCATTTAAACTGTTTTACTTAGAGAATTATATCACATTAATACCAACATCCTATCACCTAGGACAGAAAATAGCTGCAGTACTTCATAGCCTCTTATCCAACTGTATGGCTATTAAAAGGTAAAGTGTTATGAAAAAAATATTTCCAAGCAAAGGAGAACCATCACAAAAGTATACTGATACTTTTCTTGGCTCAGAAACTACATAAGGAATAGACTTGTATGTCCCTGGATCCTCCACTGCTGACATCTAGCAATGAGGACCATATGTATGATTCCTGGAGTTGTATTAGAAACCATATGTGCAGTGCTGAACACATGGATAACCAGAGAAAAGCATGCAGGTGTCTTTCCAGATGTGAACTCATAGCATGGGTGGAGCTAATTCCCATCCATTTTAATATTTTAAATTTATACTGTTTATATTGTAGCTTAACAGCAGTGATTAATATGCATGAATATCACATCTGTTGTGTGGAGCCCACATGCTATTTTGTGTATTTGTAATTACTGTAGAGCATTTATACCTCACTCTGGGAGTACATTCCCAGAATAGCTAACAATAACTTTTAAAGGACCAAAGTAAAATACTAGCATCACTACTGTAAAATAAATAATTTAAAATAGCATAGGAGAAAATAGAAGAGCCAATAAAATATACTATAATTCAGTTTCTAAATATCTGGAAAAATAAAAAGATCACTACTTAGAAAACCTCAGATACATTGGCTTTAATAGCTTTAATGACTTTAATAGATGAAAATATGTGTAGCTCAGGGTTGAACTGTGGGATTCTTGGTGCTCTCAGAGCTTGGTTGTTTGCTTGCAGATGTTTCATTACCCAACTAGGTAACATCATCAGTGCAAGCAGTTGGGTAATGAAATGCCTGCAAGTAAACAATCAAGCTCTGAGAGCACCAAGCCCAACATTAAATAAAAATGAAGGGTTAAAAAAATGAAGTACTTTTTCCAGATTGCATGTTTATTGACTTAATAATTGCACAAATATATCATTGTATATCAGGTCTGGATATAACACTGTCCCCAAAGTGTTAGGGACACTTTTTTTTTTTGCAAGAGCCAGTTTGGTCTAGTGTTAAGGCACCAGGCTAGAAAGCAGGAGACTGTGAAATCTAGTCCCGCCTTAGGCATGAAAGCCGGCTGGGTGACTTTGGACTGGTCACTCTCTCTCAGCCCAACTCAGCGCAGAGGGTTGTTGTTGTGGGGAAAATAGGGGGAGGAAGGAGTACTAGGTATGTTTGCTGCGTTGAGTTATTTATAATAATAAAGGCAGGATAAAAAAATCTTTTAAAATTCCTGCATCTGGCTTAAAACATAGCGGCTGACTTTTAACTGGCATAGGACACTCTTAGCACATAACATGAATTCCAGCTGTAATTCAAGTTTCTAGTTTAAATGTTTAAAGCCTGAATGGACAAGGTCCAGTAGTTTATAAGCTCTGAATTTATCTTGCTTATTGATGCAGGGTTATCCTTTGAATATTAATTTTCTATGGACTAATTTTAACAAAGGCATTCCTAATGGAAACCTCTTCTCTGAGGTCATAATTTGGGGCCACTGCTGACCTTTAGGAAATTACTCTGTTTGGGGGAATGATTTTTAAATCTCAGTTAAAAGTTGAACTTCATGACATTATGAAGTTAATTGCCAAAGGTATTCTAAGGTGTAGTGTTATGCTCAAGAGCGATCAGCTGAAGAACTGTACAGATTGGGCAGAAACACCACTATCAGGCGAAACACAAATTATTACGGAGTCCACAGAGCAACTCAGATATGCCAGAAAAACACTCTACTGATGGAGCTGTTCTGTCAGTAAAAGGGCTACAAACTGAAGGAACTGTGGACAGGATGGGAGTGGGGATAACAAAGGAACGAAGCATGCTTATCCTATATCCTGTATTCTTCTAGAGCAGCATCTACATCAGCTCTGGATCTGAAGCAAGAAAGGTGGTATTGCTATTAACTTCAATAGGATTTTTGGTAAAAAAAAATGTAATGCCCACATTAATATTGTTGCCTCCACTGAATGTAAGATAAGTTTTATCAAATACCAAGATATCACTACCAATGTCTAAACACCAAATATAGCTCCTCTGCAAGTATTTGCCTTCATATGACAAATAAACTATTGTTTTGCATATTCAGAATTAATTTGCAAAGAATTCTGAAAGTGTGCTCAGCTTACAGAATTTACCGATCAGAATTTATGATTGTAAGAGCTTAGAGAGCTCTACTGCAGATTGTCATACAAAACACATAAAGATCTAGTGATTTCCTGTATGTTCACATCCCCTAATCCACTTTAGCTATACATACTGTATATTATACCAGAGATAAGGTATGGGGCACCAGGCTCCAGCCTCTCACACACCTTACTGCTCTCAAAGTGAAATGCTATTGATAAGAACCATGAGATGCTTTGTGATCACTTTTCACAAAGCATCTTCTCTCCAAAACATGCCTCACAGTTCCAGCATACAGGTAGTCCTCGTTTAGCGACTATAGTTGGGACCGGCAACTTGGTCATTAAGCAAAGCAGGCACTAAGTGAAACTGCAACTGTGCTTATGATCTTACTCTAACCCTAACGCTTTCCTTTGCTTTACAGACCTGCAAAGGTTGTAAACGTGAGAATTGGTCATAAAGCTACTTTTCATTACCGTCGTAACTGTGACTGGTCACTAAATGAGGCAGTTACTAAACAAGGATTACCTGTATTGCTCATGCTTCTCTTTCTACAGTAGAAACTGGGACTGCAATCCAGTGCAAAATACTTGGGAATAAGGCCTGCGGGACCCAACAGAAGTTTGCAGAGCATTGGATTGTAGTCCCAGTGACTTTATGGTCACTTTGAGATGGAAATCTGTAAGAATTAAACTTTTATGAATGGTTAGGTGTGAAGGCAGTCCAAATCTATTTAAAACATTTTATTCTGTTCATCATACCAAATTTGAGATGGAGGAACAGCATAAAATACTAAAATAGGAAAGGAGTCAATGAAACTTAGCAGACTACAGTTCAGCAACTAGCATGTTAACCAGCAAAGGAAATAATTCACAGGACAATATGCCTCTTCCATGTGGAGAGCATGCACAAACTAATTAAGGGATGGAAATGGGGAAAAATAAATATTTAGATTGTAAGCTATTTGAAGCAGGGCCCTATAAGCTTGCCTTGTGTAAATGACATGCCTAAGGATGGCAGGAAGAATTTACTAAGGATGGGAAATAATTATCTTCCTATGTGTGGAAGAAAATTAGAATTGTGGATCTATCCTAGTAGAGGCCTTAACAAGACTATGAAATTCATCCAAGCTCAATCTTTTTACAATTGGATCTCTGCTTCTGGGGGACACAAGAACACAATAACATTAAATATGCATTCTTCAACTCCTGGTAGGCAGCATAAACAGTCCTACTTTATATTAAATGGAAGAAAGGCAACTTCCCATCAAACAATCACTGTTTGAAATGCTTTATTTAATTTTTTCAAACAGCCAAGAAATTTGTGAAATACTTGCTTAGAAGCCCGCATTCCTTCAAACTTAATATGCATTTACTTACATTGAACGAAACAAAACGACGCTCTTCCTTTTTCCCCTTATTGGCCAAGCTTTGCGCCCCCAACACCAGAATGCATGATACCAGCGCGCTCCCATTTTCTGCGCAAGGTAGAGCATCCTTGCCCGCCGCACAGAGCACGCGAGGTGCGACCCGCCTTCTGCCGGAGGCCGAAGAGGCGCCGGGCGCCTTGACCGTCCGCCCCTTCGAAGAAGGCGGAGTCGCCGGCTGGAGCGCCGCCCTCAGCTGCTTGAGCCCAGAGCCAAGCGCGCGCCGGCGAGCCCGGCCGCCTGCTGCCGCGTAGCGCGCTCACTCTCCTCTGCGAGTTTGACAGGAGTTCCGACGGGGCTTTTTTCGCCGCAGGTCCGTGGAGGAGGGAGCAGCCGCCCACGCCGCCAACTCCAGCCCGGGCTTCTCTCGCCTGGATCACTCCCCCGCCCACTCGCCAGAGAAGCAAGGAAGCCGACCCGGACCTGGCGACCAGCCCTCCTCGGAGCATGTCGGAGCCCGGAGCCCAGACAACGGCGGCGGACAAGGAGTCCTCCAACCTGGTGGTAGGGCTCCTTTGCTGGCCGTTTTCTCCCGCCTCTTCCCCTCTCCCGCATTGTTCTGTCTGTCTGTCTCTGATTCTCCCTCACTTTCTGACGCCCTTTCCTAATTCTCCCTCCCCCTTTGCTTTCCCTCCTGGCTGACCTGAAATCCCTGCCCTTGTTTCTCTCCCCCTCCTCTTTTTGCTTTCCTTGCCAGGCCCAGCTGTTTGGGGGGCTACGTTGGGGCCGCCTGGAGGAGCCCCTGGGATTCATTAAGGTGCTGGAGTGGGTAAGTTTGTTCTTTCGTGTGTAACTTTTGCACTTTGCTCCCCTCCCGCACCCCAAACCTGGAGGGGAAGAATGACCCCACACTAAATTGTTGCCTTGGTGGAGTGTCATCAAGGGAAGGGGCCACAGGGGGCGGGAGACTGGACCTGGGCTGTGTGCAGGGCCGGTTGAGCAGGAGGGAGTGTCTTCTCAGGCAGTCCTTCTATGTGCAAGGAGTCTGGATTTATGGACCGGGGTATGCATGGGAGCAGTGGCAAGTGGTGCTCACATTTCACCCAGGCGGGTTTAACCTTTTTGGAACTCTGATTCTGCACATACCGCGCCTTAACTTGTCCCTGAGCTCACAAATTCTCTCTCTTCTCAGCCTTCCCAAGAGGAGATTAGAAATCCTGGATTTATTTAGTCCACAGCACAGAGCCCAGTGCCAGGAGACTCCACTCCAGGGCTGTATTTTTGTGTGTCTGTTTCCACAGGGGAGGAGCATTTCAGTTTGATTGCCATGAACATCTTCAGATTTTTACCCATTTTGATGCAGAAGTTAGGAAAGAAACTTGTATAGCACAAAGAAAATGAATAAGCCTTATCTACTCTGTAGTTCTTAAAAAGGAGAAAAGCTACTTCCTGTTTACCAAAAAAAAAATCCCTCAGTTTTAAACTTTCATATATAGCACTGTTATTAAGTAACATGCTGTACTGCCATTTGTTTTGTCTTTAGGCAATAGTGGTACTACTTAAGCATAAGGAACATATTTTGCCAAAACCGTATAGTTAGAGACTCTGATTTTATAGTTGTGCGAAGCATGTGCAATACTTCTTCAGACTTGAAAAGAATCAGAGAGGAAGTGAGTGATAAGACAACACAACTGAGCTATCAGCATTTTATCTAAGTGCGCAGCACTTTTGGATGAGTTTAGACCTCAGTGAGGACACATCTCAAACACTTAAAAAATAACACCAGTGGGTCCCTTGGTAAACCCAAGGACTTGTCACTGCATAATGCATGGCTTGAGGACAGCAGTATTTGCATAGATATATCAAGATCTAGTAGAAGATGACAATTTTGTGCATTGATTGTATGGTTAAAGCACTGGATTGTGAGAATAACTAGCACCAAAGTTTAATGACAGATGAATGACACAAGTGGCCTTCCATCATACATCAAGACATTACTCTTCTTAGATATGCGATATAAGTAGTTGTCTGTGCCCTCTTTCATTGTTTCAAATGTGCACATACGGTTCTTTCACAGTCTACAGCTGGCACTTCATATTTTTTATTATGTTTTGTTGCTGCCTGACAAGGTCATCAGATTCATTGAGAATTTTCAGATCTCTTTAGACTTTTTAGCTTTGCGCACTCTTTGTGATAAAACAGTTATATCAATCATCTCAAGAAGTTTCCATTTTAGAGCATAGGCTAAAATTAGCATATACTGTATTTCAAAAAGCAAGAAAGTTCTATTGACAAATCTCTTTAGTAAAAATCATAGGAAACTGCCCACATAGTGACTGGATCTTGAAAGTGTTTTTTTGTTCTACCAAATCTGTTTATTTTATTCAATGGTAATGTTTTAACTGTAGAAAGTATAACTACTGAAGAAACATGACCTGATTTTTCATATTTTCTTGCCTTGAGTACACAGAGACATTTTTCATGATAACTGGTTTGCACAGACCATCTGCTGTGGTGCAGATTGTATTTTCTGAATACAGCATTTTATTTATTTATTTATTTATTTATTTATCGTATTTATATATCATATTATATTTTCCTTTTTTTCTCAATTATATTTTTCAGATCTGGTAAAATACTGAGAACCATGGTATCTGTGCTGTAGCTTTCTAGTCTAGTTCTCTTTTTTCTATACAGATTGAAAATATAGAGTTGGCTCTAAATTCATAGAGGTCAGCACTTAAACAGTTGCTTCTTGCTTTGGGAGAAGACAGCACCGCTTGGAGTTTGAGCTTGATTTCTGCTCGGGTGCAGAAGTAGTGTTGAGAACCCCAGTGCTGTCATTAGCTGTTACATGAAATCTGGAATTGCAGATAGTAATTCCAGATTTCATGGAATACTGTAGCACATGAAAGCAAACTCAGTGTTGGCTGCCTGTAAACATTTCTGGATAAGCTTTATTAAATCAGGATACCTGGTTTGTTAGGATAGGAACAAATGAGACCTTGGCAGATACAGAAGTCCTGTTGCTGCAGAATAGTTCCTTTCTGAGCTCTTTGCATTACCATTTTGTTGTAACTGTTACTTTTAATTCCATCTTAGTGCTAAACATAATGACTAGGCCTCTCTTTTACTAACATCTTTTTTGTAACTTTTGCTTTTCCCTGCACTTATATACAGACAACTAATTCTGAAACTCTTCAGTCGTAGTGGTGTTTAAGCAGCACATCTGCTAGCTTTCATCACTTTCCCTAACTGAGCTTATAGAAACCTATAGGGAGTACAGTGCAGCCATTCATTATAATAGTTGAACTTTGGTTAGTCCTGTTTTGGCTGGATGTTAGTCTCATCCAAGGTGGCTTCCAAACCAGGTGCCAGTGCTTGGTCTAGGCTCTAGACTGCTGTTGCTTTGTTGTTATAAAGCTGAACCCACCAAGAGTGTCTTACCAGGTCTTGCAAGACCCATGTTGGTGTGTGAGAGAGAGTTGAGCCTAATGGGTAAACAAAATAAAATAAGTTTTTTGTTCATCTGTAAAATCTTTTCTTTTTTCCTCATTCCCTTTTATGTACTGATCCATCATAGTGCTTGAAAAATCTTCTTGATATAGCTTATCTTGATATCCAGTTTATATATTGTTTAAGTCAAAACTGACAATTTTGCCATTAGCTACATCTTCTTGTTTTCTCTTATCTATCATGAGTCTATCATAGCAAGAGTGCTTTTAAATTTAATTTTGGTCTCTTCCAACACTACCACCTGCTTTTATATACCTATTAGTCTTGACTTTCTACAGATTTTGCTGAGCTTTGCTGATTACAAATGCCATGCATATCTCTGGATGGAATGTGTGTTAAATATGAATATGTCTATCAGCTTCAAGCACTTTCTTATACTGTGGATTTCACTTTTGTGGGGGGGATTGATTTTATGCAGCTCTGGGCCATTGATATTGAAACAAAATATTTTTGATGTGTGTGGCATAACTATTGTTTGTCCCACATTTAGTGGCAGGCTTTAGTCAAACCATTTAGCTTTCTATTGAAGCTGATGGAATTATTTCAGTTGCTTTACTGAAATGTGCATTTTTCAGCTAGTAGTTATATCTAAGGATTCTAACACTGCTTAGTGTTCTGCAAAAAAGTAAGACATCTTGCTTTTTTTATTTAATGCTTTTTTCTTTTATAGAAGCTGAGTATTAAGCTGGGTATTATTCTGCAGTGTTGGCTTCCAGCAAGCTATTTCCTTTTCTTTCTTTCAAGGTGTTATTTTTTTTAAATGTGTCTAAGAAAATATGCAGCTTTTTTTTAAATTGATCAGATTTCCACATTGCTTGCATATTTTTGCTACAATGGTTGATATGCATTGATGTTTGATATGATTTTATTAAAACAGTTCTGGGCCGTTATAAACCTGGGTAGTTGTGTGCAGTTTCTGCGGTCTTGGGATAGTTCACAGGAGTTAATAAAGCTAAATATGTTGTCTCGCTTAGAGTGTTTTTCCTACTGATCGTTAACAAATTTAATCCTAAACTCCCCTTCCCTTTTTCTTCAGCTCTTTGCCATTTTTGCCTTTGGAGCCTGTGGTTCTTTCAGTGCAGAAACCGGGGCCACTGTGAAATGCAACAAGGCCCCTAAAGAGACATCTGCTATTACTGTGCAGTTTGGATATCCTTTCAGGTAAATCAAACGCTTACTGAGGACAAATTTGGAATATAGAATGTGAAATTAAACACTGTTGGTAATAGCCTCTGATTAAGGGAAAATAGTTAAGTTATATTTCCTAGGCTTCTTTTTTCAATGGTAAGTAATTATTTAACTTAACTTGAGGTGCTCAATATTGCAGGCTATTTTTCAAGACATTCATCTGGAATTGCCCTACATCTGTTAACTATTGATTCAAAATGAATTAAGCAGTGAAAGAATTGCATCATTATTACAATGATGGCTGGAAACTGCTCTGCAGGGTGTTACATCCAGAAAGCCCATTTAAGCATGTTGGCTTGGACGTGCTAAGTTTTTTTGTTTGGGGTTTGTCTTTTTTAATACCTCCAATTTCTCAGATCACTTTTAGGAATTCTTTTAGTTTTCAAAGTGATTTGTCATGCAGCATGGAGGGTTGCTACTCAGGAACCAAGGCCAAATGTCTCTTGGTTGCATAGAGCAGATTTTATAGCACTTTGAATTCCTTTTCTTCTTTCCAATCATACATAGGTTTGGGGAATGTTCCTGCAGAAAAATATAGTTCATCTAAGAAACTAGTATATGTTTGCCACAATAGAAACCACTTCTGATCCATTGGTCAGAAACCAGTGGTCAGTGGAGTGGCTATTGGGTCTTTGATGGTTGAAAAAGCAGAGATTCAGTAACTTATATGCTATAAATAAGCTACATTTTGTACATTGGGATAGGGTTTTTTTTGTAAATTCAAAGGCAAATTGTTTCCTAAAATCAATAATTTGGACAGAGGAGGGAGATAGCCTTTCTGACTCATTGGCCTACATAAAGTTATGTAAACATCTTAGGCTGTTGAACAAATGTTATGATTAAGAAGATACAGTATCTTTGTCCTCGGATTTTAAATGGGATGCATGGGAGAAGGCCGTGCCATACCTCCCTTCCTTCCTTTCTTTTTCTGTACATATAAAAAATCTATTTCCAACCATGACAGCTGAGAAGATTAAGACCATCTTCAAATCAAGCTTGACTCCTGGTGACTACATGGCTATGAACATGCAGTTTTCTTGACAACAGTATTAGAAGTATTTTGCAATTGATTTCTTCTTAATTTCTTTTATTACTTCCCCGTCTAGCTTATAGCCCTGGAATGCCCATCCAAGTACCCACTAGGCCTAATTCTGCTTAGCTTCCGAGTCTAAACATGTACTACCACCTTCTAGAGACAAGTGTTTTAAATTCAGGGCTTAAAAAAGATATGTCCACATGAGAAAATTCCTGTTACAAAGCACTATACAGTGAATTAGGAAACGCATTGACCTGCAGAAAGAGGAGATGTTGTGATCTTCAGAAAGCTTCACAGGTGAACACATTAATTCAAATGTATTAATTTCTGGGCCATGGTATCTAGAAGTATGCTATCTGTCATTTTGTTTGGGGGCATATCTCTTCCATTCTGACAGCTAGGAATGAACCCTCTCTTCTCCCAGGATTTCAGAATCTCCAAGATGAGTTTATCCCCAATAGAGACCTATTAAGGGAAGCATTACCACCATCTTGCACCAATGTATCTATTTAAAAAGGGCCCATGTCTGGAATATCTTGGTTGGAGACAACCAGATGAGGTGAGAATTCTGTTTCCAATTGGGGTACTTTGCTTCCAGATTGATATTATCTCCAAGAATGGCAGGTGGAGGTCCCAGCTGCCTTGCATTTGTATTTCATCATGTTTAGATGTAATCTGATTCCTTTCTACCATACCCCTACTGTGGTTCAAATGTATTAAATTATATTTCAAGTGATACCTGTGGGGAGAGCTCAGTTAGAGATGAAAGGCAGGATAAAAATAATATAATATAAATCTTTGAGAGCACAACTTCCTGAGGGCAGTTTTCACCAGGGAGTTTAGCAGGTGTCAACTGGATCTGTGCACTTTATGCACATGGCTATACCTCAGTAGATTAACACTGGCAAACCAGAGTGAAGCAGAGTTGTATAATCTGAATCAAACTAAAACAATGATTACGGTATAACACTCCTGCACTGTTGTTTCCATTTCTCCATTCCACTCACTTCCAGATGAATGTTGCTATAGCAGATTACTATCTGTATAGGAAACTGCTGTCTAGCCAGAAATGCAATACATGCATTTTGAGCACTCTCTGATTTGCTTTGAGAGGAAAAGGATTTTTTTTTTTTTGTGGCAAACTTAAAAGCAGCAGCTGACCTGATACAGCTGTCATCTATTGAGGGGCATATGAACCGGACAAAAATGTCAGCAATTCTTTATTTGCTGTACATTCTTTGTCTAAATCTTAGTGATCAGGCTGTGATGGACTTGGTGATCAGCACTCCTGGCAAAAACAAGAGGCAGCATTGGAGTATGGATAATATCCTTAACTCGTTTTTGGTATGCTATATCAGGTAAAAGATTATCTTTTTCTGGAGAGCAAAGAAATCAGAACAGTGAAAACTTTGTACATTACGCACCCATCGCAAGACTTGTTGGATAAGCAGAAACAAGATCTAAGTTAAAATGAAATCAATCAGTGTATGAAAGATCGAACATTGTTATATCTGTGTGCATCTTCCCCTCCCTGCCAACATCTGATAGCTATAAATAGAGGCATGTCTGTGAAGTATTTTGAAATGCCTTTGACGAGAAGGGGAACAAATTGGAAGGGTTGTTGTGGTGCTGGCAGTGACAGTTCAAAACATAATGCAGTATCTTAAAATAATGAATTGTATATGGGTTGAAAAACATTTTAGTTGGAATAGATTCCCCCCTCCCCATCCTTGGAGGCTGTTTTGCCACTTGAATTCAGAATTATGTTAGGTATGGTTGCCAAGGATATAAACCTCTTTTCTCAGAGTTGTAACTTCAGTGCAGGACATCCTGTACAGTACACTGTCAATTGTTAAACTACCATCTCAACAAACCCATAAATTATGGTTTGCGGCAGGAATTTCTAAAAGAAATTCTTCTCCTTTATAACTTTTCCAAGATGCATGTTCAATATAAGTCATAATATGATGGAAAGGTAATATGGAAATAGAACAAGGCAATGTATGATATGATGCATAGATGTGTTGGAAACAAGGATGGTTTGCAAGTACAGAAAGCTATAAACATGCATTGTGTAACTAGATTTAGGCATATTTTATTTTTTCTTAACTCATACCTTTATTTTCTTTGACTTTTAAAAAAATATTTTTATACTTTACATAACATTGCATATTCCAAAAGGGCATGATAGATATGTATTTGTTTATATACAGCCAGAACCAGAAATATTGGAACAAGGATAACTGTTTTGGCATTTGGCCTCTGTCCACCACCACATTGAAGTTGAAAGGAAACACACCCAGATGGGAGTGAAGTCAGGACTTTCAGCTGTAATTCAAGGGGTTTGACGAAAGTGGGATATTAACCACTCAGGAAGTACAGCCAGTGGCATATACACACCCCCATCGTTGGTGGCTCATAAGTAATGGAATGAATGGCTGACAAGCAGCTGCATGGTCAGGTGTGGCCTGATTCCTGGGTACCCCATGACCAATCAAGCAGGTAAAGGCCTAGAGGTGGTTCTGAGTGTTACATTTGCATTTGGTAGCTGTTCACTGGAACTCT